TACCCAAACAATATAAATACATGAAATATAAATAATTTAGAAGAAAAAAAATAATATAATAATACAATTTAATTTAAAATGATTAAACAAAAAAATATATAAATTATAAATATGTATATATATATACACATACACACACAGCGACAGAGAGAAAAAAATATATAAATAAACTACACACACACACACACGCTTACATGTATAAGCATCTTGAAATAAGTACTATCATCTTGCCTACATCAATATATGTTAATGGTGTATACATACACCCATTCTACATACCCAGCATCTTTCTTTCTATCTATCTATCTATCTATCTATCTCTCTATCTATCTATCTATCTATCTATCTCTCTATCTATCTATCTATCTATCTATCTATCTATCTATTCATCAAATGTATCAGTCTTAGCTCATCTCTCTCTCTCTCTCTCTCTCTCTCTCCCTCTCTCTACCCATCTGTCTATCAAACCATCGCACAGAATTAAAGACATATACATTACCCTCTCCTAAGCATTATTCTAAAAAAGAAGGAAAGACATAAAAAAAGCGTAAAAGAGAAAACATTGCAGAAGGTGCAGTCATAAAGCCAAGAGCATGCATTAAAATAAGATAATCTTGCTTTGTTCCTTCTTCTTCCTTTTCCTTCTTCTTAATGTTGATGATTTTTTTTTGGGTGTAAGGCATTGAAAGAGAAGCTTAAAGTCTTTTCCATTTCATCAGCAAGGCACATATATTACTTTACTGGTTCACTAAAATGTTGGTTTAATGCCCACCCCCTTTCAATCTGCCCATGTCTGAGATTCTCTGTTCGAGCATACAATCATGACCAGCTTACGACACTCAGTGTGCAAGAGGCGCCTCTGCATGCTTTAGCAACATACTGGCTCAGCTGAAGAAGAGAAGGAATCCTGAGCTGTCCGTCTTTTATTATTTTACTCTCTTTTTTTTCTTTGCTTTAAACGTCGCCTAATAAACTAGACGCAGAAGGGGGGGAAAAAGAAAGGACTGGCGAAATGCATCTACAGTCTTCTGCTCATTGACTGGATGGTGATCTGTCATTGTGGAACACGGATTCTTTTTTTTTAATAGTGGTTGCTTTGCTGGTGAACGGTTATTTTAGAGATGGACACTGAGCAGCCTTGCCTGATGCCGTGGAGATCTTAGCAAAGAGAGAAGAGTTCGGAGTTCTTTCCAGAATGATACTGTAATCACCGCAGAGGCAAAAGGACGGGCGGCGAAAAGAAAAAAAAAAAGAGAGAGAGGGGATCAAGCTCCTTGTTGTGCAACTTGAAGGTCCTACAAGTCAGCTACAAAGGTAACCGGACCCCCACCGCCACCCCCTCTTTCCTTTTCGGCTCATTGAGAAGGAGCAAAGGGGGATTATTGTAAGCCTGCCAGCCTTGAAAAAAGCTAAAAGCTACTGTATGTCTGTACACAGAGGGGTCTTTTTGAGCCCGGCATATAATTAGCCCAAAACACAAAGGAAGCAGCTGAATGGAGCTTGTCACTCTCTGGAAAAGGGTGGGTAAGACACTTTTTTAATTAAATTCTTTCATGAAGAAAGATACCCCCCCTCCACCGACCACCACCCTCTCTTCTGCAGCATTTATCATGAACAAAACCCAATCACCTTCCAATTTGCATCACCTTTAATGCTGCCAAGATTCCTGCATGCTGAAAAAAAAAGAGTCCCTCTGTTGACCTATGACATGTCTTTTACTGAAATATGATGTAGAAGCCGTAGACATTTTCAATGGACATTCTCGGGAAAAACTGGAACCCTGTTTGCTAATGGATTTCCTTCTCATTGGTCTCTGTTTAAACTGGATGCTGAGAAAGCCCCCTGGGTTAATACTGTGTGTGATGGGCATATTTGTTAAAATGCTTCCACTGGTGAGCAGTGGCTGTCCCAGAGTGTGCCGTTGCGAGGGCAGGTTCCTGTACTGCGAGTCACAAAATGTCACGGAGCTGCCTCGCAACCTATCGGGCGTGATGGGCTTGTCGCTGCGGTACAACAGCTTGACGGAGCTGCAAGATGGACAGTTCACTGGGTTAATTCAACTCACGTGGCTCTATATGGATCACAATCACATAGACACAATAGAGGGGGATGCCTTTCAAAAGCTGCGTAGGGTCAAAGAACTCACACTTAGTTCCAACAGAATCATGCATCTAGCGAACCATACTTTCCGACCCATGCCAAACTTGCGCAGTGTGGATTTGTCAAACAATAACATACAGTCCCTGGCGCCGGATCTGTTCCACGGGCTACGCAAGCTGACGAGTTTACAGATGCGCCACAACGCCATCAAGTTTGTGCCAGTGAGAATCTTTCAGGACTGTCGCAGCCTCGAGTTTCTCGACTTGGGATACAATGAGTTGAAGAGCCTGGCCCGTAACTCTTTTGCTGGCTTGTTCAAACTTGCAGAACTTCACCTGGAGCACAATGACTTGGTGAAAGTAAATTTAGCTCACTTTCCAAGGCTCCTCTCGCTACATTCTCTCTTTATGAGAAAGAACAAAGTGACCATAGTGGTTAACTCTTTGGACTGGGTGTGGAAGCTCACCAAAATGGATCTCTCTGGGAACGAAATTGAATACATCGAACCTCACGTTTTCGAAAGTGTACCTCACCTGGAATCCCTACAGCTCGATTCCAACCGCCTCACCTACATCGATTCCAGAATCCTGAATTCTTGGAAATCTCTCACCAGTATCACCCTGTCCGGGAACAACTGGGACTGTGGGCGTAACGTCTGCGCCTTGGCCTCTTGGTTGAGCAACTTCAAAGGTCGCTATGATGGCAACATGCTTTGCACCACCCCTGAGTATGCCCAAGGAGAGGATGTTTTGGATGCTGTCTATGCCTTTCATTTATGTGAGGACCCTACTGATCCAACTAGCCCCAACGCCATCATCACATCCTTTAACCACAGTGACAAAAACGCCCATAACAACCCCACCATGACTACTGCCACCTACGATGTACAGGATACCGAAGGGGAAAAAACTACGGACATCTTGATGGTTACCCTACCCAGCGAGCTCACAGACAACACCATTCAGATTCACAAGGTGGTCACTGGGACTATGGCACTGATTTTTTCCTTTCTTATTGTGGTTTTGATGTTGTATGTTAGCTGGAAGTGTTTCCCAGCCAGCCTCCGGCAGTTGAGGCAGTGCTTTGTGACACAGCGTAGGAAGCAAAAACAAAAACAGACTATGCATCAGATGGCTACTATGTCTGCCCAGGAATACTATGTTGATTACAAACCCAATCACATCGAAGGAGCCCTGGTAATTATTAATGAATATGGTTCCTGTTCTTGTCACCAGCAACCTGCCAGGGAATGTGAGGTGTGATTAACGCCTTTTACAAAATAAAAAAAGGGATTTAAAACACTGTACAACCAAATAACGATGGCATATAGACCAGCTGAAGAGAATATTTTTGCACCTCTTGACTTGATATTCAAAGGGGAATCTATTGAAAAGAAAAAAAAAATATGAAAAACTTGACCTTTTAGCTTTATTGTGTCTTAAAAAAAAAAAAAAAAAAAATCAGGACAGGAAATGGATAAAAACAAAAAATATTCCAATGGTACAAAGATTTGTCTATATTCAGGAATCTAAGAGTGTATAAAAAAAGGTACCATGTTGAATTTTCTTTTTGTAATCTACGATGTTTAAAAAGGAAAAAAAAATAATAAAATAGCATTTACAATATTTTTTTTTTAATCTTTTTTTTCTCTTGCACGGTGACGTTCAGTAAATCAATGTCATTGAGAACATAAATTAATTTCCTCTTCATCTGCAGTTTCTTGGCCGTGTGGCACCCCAGCAACAGGGGAAAAAATAAATAAAACAGCCTTGATTTAGCTATAGATGGATCAATGGCTGGTAGTTTTAATGGCTCGCCCTGCAATAAACTCTGGATTGTTTGCCGTGCCGTGGTTTAGGCAAGCACTGCAGATTTGGTAGGAGGAAATAGAAGGGGAATGTAAAGAAAATGGTTTTGGTGAAATGGTTGCCACCAGAGAGTTGGTAAGCTTCCAAAGGGTAGTCATGCTGAATCTTTGCATCACCTGTTGAAGGTTGACATGGGTTTTATATT